ACTCCCCAGCTCGCCAGGTAAGTTTTTCCCCACACCATGGAGAGAGAAAGCATAATGAAAGCAACCCTAGAGAGAAATTAGGTGGAGGAAGGGGAGCCTGACTGGGGCCTTTCTTAAAACTTGGAACTTTCACAAACTTTTGTAAATCTTTTTACCCATTCATAAATAACCATCATAGAATAATTTCAGTTCTTGTACTGCAAAAATGTATTTTTATACTTTATGCTATTATTAAATCCATATAATTTATTTCCAATTTAATTTGAATTTTTAATTCTGAGAAACCTTGATTTTCCAATGATAAACAAAAAGTAAACAACCAGCGTTTCTCAGATTGACATTTATGAATACACTTTAAATATATTCTGACTTTCAAGAAACACACCTTCAACAAAGCACAAGACATTACGTCAGCATTTCTAAATCCACTTTATAGACTTTGAGCAATAAGTAGGTGAATTTAAGATTTGTCTAGCAGTGTTTCAGTATTTCGTGTCATTTTGAAATATCTAGATGTTCAATAACTTTTATAATTTAACTTAGCAATGCTCCAAAGTTTTTAAGTTACCAAAGACTTTGGAAAATTTGTGTAAGTATGAGGCTGTAGAAAAAGCAGGGGGAGGAGGAACTTGTTCCCAGGATGCAGCTCCCAGGCCTCCAGGCATCTGGATATAAAACAAACTCTTTTCTTTACAAGGGGAGGGGCAGTACTCCTCCCTCCTTGTAGCTTCTACAGCTTTTGTAAGGACATTGCTGCAGTTCAGGTCTTCTGGGAGAATCTGAAGCATTTAAAAGACTTATTTTTATAAATTTTCATAATTGTATTATCCAGAGGCTTAGAAAGACATGAATAAAGTGAGATTCTCAAAGGTGAATAGCGTTGAAGACCCCCATTTCACCCGTGATCAAACAGATTTTGGAAGAAAGAGGTTCTGGTGTGTGCATCAGAGCAAAGCAAGCAGTCTCCTATGTCTAATAAAAAAATGTAATGGGGTTACCTGTCACATCAAGGGACACCCTTGGCTCTGTACCTTCATAGATGATGTTCTTAATGGGGGCAACTAGAGCATTGAGCCCCATCAGTTCAAGGCCATTGTGTGATTAGGTTCTGGTCTCACGGACCCTCCAGCCCCCAAGACAGTCCTCTTTCCAGTGATGGAACTTGTGACAGAGGGGGCACGGCCCTTGATGTGACATGGCTTAAAGCTGAGGTTTCTATGGGATGGCTTTCTTGCTCTTCTTCCCTTTCTTGGTTGTTAAAAACACTGAAAGTTATTTCTACCAGTTGCTCAGGGAGTTCTGGGGTCCCAAGGCTAGTTTTTGTAATTTTATTTTGCTGTCTGGGGCTGTCTGTTGGATAAAATGTATCCCCAAAGTGCTCTGACCTTAACAGATAGGAACAACTGCTTTAACAGGCTTTCATTTATTACTTTTCTTAGAAAGAACATGCTAAGGTTTGGGTGATAAAGAGTTCAACTTCTGATAGTGGCAGGGCTGTTAAGTAACTATCTGACTCCAAGTACCTGTAGTTTTGTAAAAAAACAAAAAACAAAACAACAGAAAGGTAAAACAGCACAGCAGCTGCCTTTTTGGGAAGGGGGAAAGAGTGAGCTGAGAAGAAAGCAAGATCAGGGATTTCTTGGAGTTTTAGAGGCCTGGAGGTGGAGGCAGAGATGATACGGCAGGAGGAGTAGAGTTTAGGGTTACTGTGGAATTTAAGGAAAAAGCCTGAACCTAGGGAATCTTGAACCATTTACCTAGGCGGTGCTAATATAAACCCAGTTGGTTTATAATTAAGGGTGCCATTCTGGGGCCAGATCTAATGGTCTATTTTATCTTGTGGCCATGCTGTATTGCCATTGAAAATGAGGCATTTGGGTCTAATTTTGTCTTTTAAATCGCAGGCCTTAAGATTCTTTAAAAGGCAGGCCTGAGGTGAGTCTTTGGGAGGGATTAAGAGTGAGTTGCCCATGGTGTTGTTATGAAAACAGTGTTTGCAGAGGGGAGAGTTTTGAAACTAGTGAGAAGTAGAGAAATCAAGGGCCAATGTCTGGACCTGGTTGCTGCCTCCTTCAGTGTGCTGAGACCTCCTGTAGGGGGTGTCCCCCACTAGAAAGGTTCATTGTAGGGGACCCAGGCCTGGAGTGGCTATGGATAGATAGGAGCATCCTTGCTACTTAGTCCCTATTATAGGCTGGTTGGCCACAGCACTGGGATTTTCCCATGAAATGTGTCATGACCAGCTGGGCTATCACCCCTTTGGAAACACTGGAACTGGCAATGCCGAGATTCACAGTCACCAAAATAAAATCCTAAAGGTTGTTTTGGGCCAGGGCTTGGGTGTGTGCTTTTTCATAGTATGCCTCTTGCCCAGTCCATTCTTTCACAGGAGACTTCCTGGTGGCTCTTATGTGGCTGACCCATGCCTGCAAGTAGTGGCCCCATGGGGAGCTGAGAGTCTCAGTCCCTAGTGCCCTCTTCCCAAAAATGAAGTGATTCACCCATTAACAGGAATCAGAGGCGTGATGATTTGGCACTCCTGCTACCACTCAGGAGTCCTGAAGGACTTGATTGGTGCTGGACTGGAAGACTAGGAGTCTCCAGGGGTGGGGGTGTGAATGAAGGGGAAGCTTCCATTCTGGATATTCCCAGACCAGCCACCAAAATGAAAGGTTAAGGTCAGGGTGTGCAGGCAGTCCAAAAAGGCATCTCAGACAAGTGAATAAAGAAAAATTAAATTTATTTAATTAAAAGGAAGTGGAAATACCCAAAGGAAGGGCAGCAGAGCACTGAACATTGGGTCCATGATGGCAGCAAAAATATACTTGCAACAGTGAAATAAGGAAGAGCATAGAAGAAGCAACAGGAGAGTTTAGGTAGGCTGCCTCAGCTCACTGAGAAGTCAGAGAGAGAAGGGGGCCTTGGAGACAGGTTCAGGGGATAAGCCTGTGACATGCTGCCGCTGTCCATTGCTCCCCTGGTTGCAAGGCTTGTGGGGGTCCCCTCAGGGATGAGGTGGTGCTAGCTTACTCCCCAGCAGGTCAGTGCCCTGCTGGGTCCTTTGTCTTGAACATATTTATCTCTTTCTTGTAGGCAGGCATCTTAGGGAGGTCTCAGGAGAGTGTCTTAATAGGATATTCATCAGCTTTCCAGGTGTGCTCATTCAGGGTCAGTGCCAGGGCAGGGGGTCGTTAGTTAAAGTTCTGGTCCTGAGGCAGTCTCAGGGCCACTTCTCCAGTTTCCCTGTTTCCTGGGTTTGGGGCTGAACTACCACTGAGGCCTAGATGTTATCTTTAGGGAGGAACCGTTCAGAAAATCTAAACCGCAAGATCAGCACTATGTTGGGGGAGAATAGGTTCCCCAGGGGACAAGGTTCTTGTTTTGACAGTTTTGCACCATGCTGAGTGTCTAGGACTTTTTGTCCTGATGAGTCTCTGTACCTGAGTTTCTTTACTTTTTTTTTTTAATCCTCCCCAGAGGGTAGTTTTTCCACTGCTTTTAAGAAAAAGAGAGGAATGGGGGAGAGAGAGAAATATGGATGTGAGAGACAGACATGGATTAATTGCCTCTAGCACAGGCCCGCACTCTGGGGCAGGGATTGAGCCTACAACCAGGTACATGCCCTTGGCTGGAATCCTATGGACCCCTTCAGTCCAGAGGCCAGGGTTCTAGGCTGAGTCAAGCCAATTAGGGCTGTACCTGGGTTTCTGTACCTGGTCTACCCAACACTATTCAAATGTTAGCCGCAGAAGAGAAGATGATGTTTTAGGGAACTATGCACATTCTGTGCATCGATTAAAGTGAGGCATCCAGTAGTGAATACTTTTTCTGACATCTGAGGAACCTATCCTGCTGAATCTGGACTGCGTAGGTAGAAGAGGTCATTTTATTTCCATTTACCTTCTACCGCCGAAGCCTGAGGGTCACTTGAATGCTAGTTTGACAGCCTTAGTATACCTTTGCCGGCTGATTCCACCAAACCACAAACATCCCAAGTTCCTTGGCCCCCAAAATGTAGCTCAGAACCCCCAGGGCCCCGGTCTAGTGCAGCATTAGCGGGTACAGGAAGTGGACCGCTGTTGGAATAGGAGACTCTACGGTGCCAGGAAGGAGGTGGGAGATGTGTAGAGGAGGCGAGGCAGGGGAGGGGAGTTAGGGGAAGGGAGAGCAG